GGGAGCTGTGCGGCGGCCGGGGGCTGGGCGGGAGTCAGGCGCCGGTTTTGGGGCGCAAAGGTTGCCCCTTGCAGAGGATGAGGTGAAGGCGAGTTCGGGCAGACGAGGGAGGGCGCGTTCGCTGTGCCGAGGAAATGCCCATTGCCGGGTGCGTGGCCGGGCAAGCCGCCTGAGGGGCCGAATGGCCTTGTCTGCCGGCACCCAGCAGGGCAGGGAACGAGTCCGGCTCTGCCGGGAAGGGAAACCGGCGGTGCCTTCCCTTGCTCTTCCACTTCCCAGTCAGGCGTGAGATCTAGTTTTATTTTTGGGTGTGAGCATTTGTCCAGATCTTGGCTTTGTATCTTACACGTAAACTCTTGCGTTTGCTTTGACTAGTGGATGTGGGAGTTCGGTGGTGTTAGTAGGACCTGCAGTATCTCAGAAGTCAGGATGCTGGATTCTGCACTTGCTTCACAGCTGTTCCCGTTCTTCTGCAGCTGCCCTGGGTGACTTTGCTTCCCGTTTCTGGTGCTGCTTAACAGAGTATTTGCAAAGACTTCTGGCCCATGATGGAGAATGCCTTTCCTTTCCCAGGTGCTTGAGATGATTTCTTAAATGCTGGAACCTTGCTTAATACAGAGCTCGTCTTGTTTCTTTGCTAAAAGGAAGAGGAGGCTGTTGATCCTGAATGGCATGGTTCTTCAACAGGAGACAACATTTTTGTGCAGCTCACCATCAAAGTGTTAGACATAAGGCCTTTGACTCTTATTTCACACCTTTCCCTTGAACAGTGGGGTCTTTAAATACTATTCTTCTTAGAACTACTATGAAGAAATGGTATAGAATCTAAGTTCCTCACAGATATATTTCCTTTTTAATGCTTCCACAAAATCATTTTAAGAAAACTGAATTCACTTTAGGGCTTTGTAGGTCACAGAGTTTATTTTTCTTGTTGCTTTCTATGGTGGCTGTGCTGTACCTTGGAGATTAGACATGACTCAAGGTAAAGTAGTTGAGGGACTTCGCTGCTTGATTCTCAAATGAACCTTCTGACTACAGCTTCTGAAAGTTTCAGCTGCTGGATCCTCTTTCTTTTAGTATCATGGTGTCCAAAAGCTTTCTTGAAACTTCATCTTGCAACTTTCAGCCCGCGATGTTTCATTGGTTCTTTGTGGGGAACTACTTTTTGGTCTCATCCCACTTCTTGTCAGCAACTCCAGGGCATTGTGGGATCTCTTTGGCAGATAACTCTTCTTTTTGTGCAAGTGATCAGTTGTTCGATGGGCTGTTTGTTGTGTGCAGGTGGAAATGGAGAGTAGCCCTGGGAAACTATTTGACCTGTTCACTTAATTCTATTGTGAAAGCCAAGGAGAGTGATAAGACAAGAGCTTGATAGACTCAAGGAGTGCTGAAGGAAGTACCTGCATTTTCTGCTCAGTTCACAGAGCAGTCCAGAAGAAGGATGTGTGTATGCAGAGTCTCTTCCTAGCCTCGAGATGTGGCTTCTGGCTCCCTAGCACAGCCTTAATAGGATTAGTAGCCAAAAGGCTCTTTCAGCTTGTGACAGCCTTTGGTGGATCACACTTCAGCTTGCGTATCTCAGTGCAGCATGACTGAGCTAGTTCATTCGTTGCACCTGACATCTTCCTGTGTTAGCAGCTGTGGCAGAAAAAAAGGTGTAGAAGACTACTGCCCTGCTTTTTCTTGCTAAGGACACCCTGTGCTTGGAAGTCTTTCTGTGGTGCTCTTCCAAGTTTCTTCTCTTGCCTTTGTGATGCCTGAGCAGCGCAGTGGGAACACTGCAGGGCAAAAGCCTGCGCTTAGCAATGTCAGCTGACTTTTGACCTTGCAAATACGTGCAGTCTTCGGACTGAAGAGATTAGTTTTTGCTGTTTTACCTTGTATCTTGCGTCTGCCAGAGGTATTCCCAAACGCTGTACAAACCCTTTTAATTTATATCTGCAACAGCTGGACTCAGACATGTCAAATGAATACAAACTGCCATTGAAGAAACCAGGATTCAAGCAATTGTCAAGGAATGGGAAGATGGAACTGTCGGTATCCTCATTGCTGCAGGGTAGAGGTACTCTGTGAAGTGACTGGGAAATAGATTTCTTGAGTATCACTTTTCACTGCAGTGGTTTTTAGCTCAGATTTGTAAACTATATAAGTCTTAGAGGTTTTTTTCTTCTGTGCTTTTTACATGTTTTTCTGAAGCGTTGGTCAAGCTGTTCTCTCTGGATCATCTGCTGCTACCAGTGAAAAGTATTTTTGCATTAGTTAAGCTCTCAAATTGATACAGATTTTGACTTTATTGTGAGCTCCTTTTATGTGCGGTTTTGGGCAGAAGACGGGAGGGACAGAAATAGCACCGAATACGAGCAAAAACTTGATTAGTAAAAGAAGTTACACCTTTTCTGTATTTGTTCACTGTTCTTCAAACCTTAACTGTATTTAAGTAACTAATCTTTCAATATATTTTATGTTCTATTTGACCAGAATGTTTAGATGGTAAAGTAACTTCTTGTTTCTTGGCAGTTTAGATGTTAATTGGAATTTTTTTCAACCTGATACCACTCCTATCTACCTGAACAGAAGACTTGAAAAACCATACACATCTGGTGCTATCATGATAGGATATAATGTTTTTCACACATTCCAACAAATTAATTTATTCCTGTCTAGCATAGTTATTGGCTTCTCTTATTTTTCAGCTTCGAGCTCAGAACCAAGTACTGAAAAAAGGGGTTGTAGATGAACAAGCAAACTCTGCTTCTCTGAAGGTAATCTATAAAAGTCGCTCATGTCAGATGTGTTAAGCTGTGACAGAATAAATAAATGGAAAAGGTAAATAGGAATATTTTTTACTCAAAGTGTTGTAATTAAAAGAATTAAGAAACTTGAATTAGTGAAAGAATTTCTCTTCTCCATCTAGTCTTCATTGTGTAATGTAGGTGCTGACTTTGTGTTTCTTCAGCGTTCAAATAATGAAGAAATTTTGTTTAGCATGGTTTTTTTTAAATGTGACACTTATTAAAAGCATATGTGAAAGTTTTAAAATTAGATTTAAAATTAAATTGTTGTCATTAAGTTAAATTTTTGTATATTAAATTATTTTTTTTTTGTCATTCAGGAGCAACTGAAGATGAAGGATCAGTCACTGAGAAAACTGCAGCAAGAAATGGACAGCTTGACCTTCCGAAATCAGCAGCTTGCCAAGCGGGTGGAGTTACTTCAAGATGAGCTTGCATTAAGTGAAACGAGGGGCAAGAAGAACAAGGTATGTGCTAAAGGCAAAAAACTTTGCTTAGCAGGTGTCTGCCTCTCACCTCTCAGTGTCTTATTCTGCTTTCTAGCAGTAGTTGCTTTGTGTCAGGGGTTGAGCTGAATGTTTTTGTCAGAACTTGTGTTATGAACTGATATTTGTGAAAATACCCACAAAACAGGTGCTGTTTGGTATAATATGCGCTACATAGTCCTGTACTCTTTCTAGTGCATCAGCTAACTGATGCTGAATTGCTGTTTCCCTTTCCAGATACCTGAGTGTTCAAACAGCTGGGAAAGGTCTTGGAGTTCTGTGATTAATCTACTATATGAAGAAAACTACTAATCTGTTATATGAAGAAAACCCCTCATTTCCTATCCCCACCTCCTTGCTTTGTACTTTTGATGTTGATGGCTAACCATTCAGCCTGTGAGTGTAGCTTTTCTAGTCAGCTCTTACATGAATCTTGTCAAATGCTTTGAATCTAAACTTTAGCTGGTATTCCTTATGTTATTTCAAAATGACAGAATAATTTCCGTACCGCTATCTTTCTTTGCCAAAATGCATACTGATTAAACCTGGTTATGCCATGTTCTGTCTTAACATCTTCTGTAGGTAACATCAGGATTCCAGGAGTGGCATGTCTGGACTTTAATTCTCAGGCAGCCTTTGCTACCTACCTCTTACGAGAAACCCTCTTAATTAGTGTAATGGTTTCATTTTGTTAGGTCCCAAAATGCTATAGCTATCAAGACTGACGTTAAAGAAATCATTTAACTGATTAGTAATATGATCACCTTCCTTCCTTTCTCCCTGAAGTCTTGTGCGTTTTTTGCGATTCATTTCCTTGACACGCGTAGTACCTTTGACTTGCATTATTCATGCCCCATAGTAGCTCATTCTTCGAAATGAAGTTTGACCCTTCTGTTCTTTTATTTCATGTTATATAACTTATCATTTCACTCAAAGTGTTTCCAAATTTTGAGGGATGTCAGCCTGGCCTAAGTAGCTCTGCGAACTATTGCCACTGACTTCCCTTGCTGTTCAGATGTCAGAATGCACAGTTCTGTATTTTCTTTTCTTTTTCAAAGTATTTGTACTACCTTTTAAACATGTTCCCTTTAGTTTAACCTATGGGGCCTCACTGAGTATGTACATTGTACTGAGCCCTCCCTCGGTAAATTCCATGTCACCCTTGCTTCAGAGGCTTGCTGTTGGGGGACCGTGTAAGTTGCATCTAAAGCTATTTAGATTAAGATGGACATAGGTGATCTGTGTCAGACTGCAGTGCTTTTTGTAGAATCATAGAATCATTTCAGTTGGAAAAGATCAAGTCCAATCATTATCCAGCTCTGCCAGGCCCACTTCTAAACCACGTCCCTGAGCACCGTATCCAGATGGCCTTTAAACACATCCAAGGATGGCGTTTCAACCGCTTCCCTGGGCAGCCTGTTCCAGTCTTTGATAAACCTTTCAGTGCAGAGGTTTTTCCCAACGTCTAACCTAAACCTCCCCTGCATAACTTGAGGCCATTTCCTCTTGTCCTATTGGACAAGAGAGGAGACTGACCCCCACCTCTCTACAGCCTCCTTTCAGGTGATTGTAGAGAGTGATAAGGTCCCCCTGAGCTTCCTTTCTTCAGACTAAACAATCACAAGCCTCTCAGCTGCTCCTCATAAGACTTGTTCTTGAGACCCGCTCATCAGCTTTGTTGCCCTTCTCTTGACCTGCTCCAGTGCCTCAGTGTCTTTCTTACACTTTCTTGCAACTGAGCAGAGGATTTGAGATGTGGCTTACCAGTTCCAAGTACAGTGGATCAAATCGATTATTTGTTTCTGCTCGCTATGTTGTTCCTGATGCAGGCCAAGATAATGTTGGCTGCCTCGGCCACCTGGGCAAGAGGGAGACGAACATTTTCCCTTATCTCAGGTGATGTAGTTCATAGGCTGACGTCAAATGCAGAGGTGGCTTAGCTGTCCCAGGTGCTTGAACTTTGGCGTTAAGCTTAAACGTAAAAGGCTCCCTTTTGTTTGGTGGTGGTTCTACCTTTGCTCAGCAGTGTGGTAGAGCAGAGAAGCAGTGTGGGATTCACTGGTGACCTCTGACTCTTTTGGACAAAATGGGTGAGAAACGAGGAAGCAGTTGGCAGAGACATGTCTGTGTTCTCAGGGCAGTTGGTTGACAATGAAGACCCCGTGTTTTCCAGTGCCGCCTTGTGCTGCAGCCTGCCGCGGATTAGTGCTGTCAGTGATTATTCCTGGTCTCTGCTGATACCAGACCAGCCTACACCTTGACACTTGATGGGGGCAGATGTGCTTTATGTACAGCTACCAAACCAAATAAGCATGTGTGCATAAGATTTCATACAACAGGCTGGTGGAGTCGTGTGGAATTCAAATGATGTTGTCTGGGCACCTGCCCGTACAAGCAGTTTCATGCACATGTAACAGTGACGCCTGAGTAACGGCTTTCCTGGGTTCCTGGCGGATTAACATTCTACCACTATACAGCAACGGTGGTGGGAAGGAGAACGTGCTGCCTTTAGGCTCATGCTCTGTGCTTTTTGATGTATTAGTGTAAGTAAGATTATGTATACTCGCGTGCCTCTCTGTGGAATTAGTGATGGGAAGTGTTTTTGTATGCTTGGGGTGGGCTTTTGGATACTGCCAGAGACTTGGAGGTAATGAATGCATTTTATTTCTTGTAGAAAAGCGCAGAATCCTCGTCTCAGTTAACTCAAGAGCAGAAAAGTGTTTTCAATGAAGATCTTCAGAAGAAGATAGAAGAGAATGAACGACTACATATACTCGTGAGGGAAACTTTTTTTGGCCTTTCTTTTTAGCACAGAAAACTGGTCACGTGAACAAAGCTAAAGAAAATAAAATGTCATCTGAAAACTAGTGGATCTAGAAGCTTAGTTGTATGCAAACCAATAGATAAGGTTGTGTAGCTTGTTTATAAAGATATTTACTGGTTAAGTAAGAGTATTTTGACTTGAGACTCTCAAGATAATATGCGTAATAAGTCATATAATACATGCTTTCTTATTTAGGTTTTTAACTTTTGGTGATACATAGCCATATAGTCGGTACTGAGCGGAAACTTCCTGTTAGTTTAGTAACTGTTTCAGAATTGCCTTAAATCTTAAAATATTTTTATGCAAGTTGCCATAAATAAGTCAGGAATTACTTGACTGGAATAGAGTGCATTTTACTTTTGCTTAGAAATCTTGAGAAAAACCTTATGGCTCAAGTTTAATTTCTCAAGTGTCTACTACTGATTCTAATAATTGGCAAAATATTAATATACTACAGAACTTTAATATTAGACACAAAATACTTTGTTCCTGAATGTTTTGTCTGTAAATATCATCATAAAACTTGTGTTTGTCTGAAAAACAATACTTGTTATTAAGCTGGACTGGCTAATTAAAGTGGTATAACTGATAGAACTAGATTCCATGGTAAAATGAAGCTTTCATATGAGCTCTCCCCTTTTTCTTTTAGTTCTTTGAAGCAGATGAGCAACACAAACGGTTAGAAGCGGAGCTGAGGACTAGACTTGAGGTTTTGGAAACTGATGCTGCCCAGCACCAAGCTGTGGTGGACAGTTTAACGAGGAAATACACAGATACCATAGAAAAACTGCAGAGTGATAAAGCCAAATTAGAAGTAAGGAGTTTTTTTCTCTTACTTGCAAGTTTGAAAAGTTTTGAAATGAAATGTCTTGCTGTGTCAGTACTTACATTGTGAGATTATCTTCTTGCATAAAGATCAAGTCTCAGACACTAGAAAGAGAAGCTAAGGACTGTAGGCTTCGTACCGAAGAATGGTAAGTGTTTTTATTTAATATAATGAAAAATTGATTTAAAGAAATAGCTGCTGTGAAAGACTAACTGGTTTTATTTTTAGAGAATAATACAGTAGAACAAAAAACCAACAAACAAACCAACTCACCAAAAAAGCCCCAGGACTTTGATAAAACTCAAAATACCAGACCAAAGTGCGTTAATGTCAATACTGTGCAGGTCTGACTCCTTTTCTGTCTGCGGAGTATGTAACTAACTAGACAATCAGTTCCACAGATTTAGCTTTCAGTAAGAGCAGTTTTGTCACCGGGCTTTTTTAAGTAGCTGAAGCTGGTGAAAGCTTAAAGAATTTATTTGTAATGGAATGCTATAAAAAGTAAAGAAGCTACTGAACTTACGTGAAACAAAGATGGGAATTTTTACAAACTTCTTACGAAAACGAAGCTTTTTGTAAGGTATGCTGAGACAACTGACTTGAAAGAGTTTCAGAAATCTCTCTCCACCCCAAAAGCTTCTTGAAACAATTGCTTTAGCTCCAGGTATGACACTCAGCTAGAATATTTGAAAGTTTTTGTTGAAGTATTGAATCATTAGTTTTGGAATACCTTCATTGTCTTGAAGACAAGTTATAAAAAATGAGAAGAAGTTGAGGACTGTGGGCCAAATCAGATAGGGTGCACTTCTCTGAAGGTCATTATTAAGGTGCATTTTTTAAAGATATATGTGCAGTACAGATCTTTAACGCACTAAATGCCTAGTGAATGATCAGATGAAGAGTTCCTTTTTTTTTTTCCCAGTAGTAACCCTGAAATATTTTAATTGTTTTGATAGATGTGAAGATGCTTGAATTCCAATAACTCTCCTCTGTACAGGTCAGGGTTTCACTAAGAATGGCTCGCAAAAGGGGATGGCAGCTGTTTTGCTGCTGTTCGCTTTTTTGTGGTGTTTGAAAAACAGTGTAGTCTTAATCTGCTATTATTCAGTTCAGAGCTTGTCTGTCTCTTTTTTTGTGATGACAGAGACAGTTTCTTACAATGATGTTAATTACCCAACCATTTAAGAAGGGAGGCTTTGTAAATGTGATAAAATCTGACACTTTTTTATTTTAAACAGTGAAAATTGGTATGTAATGAACGTATGACAAGATGTCTTTGAGAATACTGCTCTTCTTTCCCCGCTCTTTCAGGGAGTGCTTCTGACACCCACACTTTTTTCAGGAAAGCCAGGAGATACGAGACTTGACAGCCTGCATGGCTTGAAAATTAAAGGGCAGAATGTAAAGCAAAATATATCAAACTGCCTGTTTGCCATTCCTTTAGTACAAAAAGGAAACATCTGTACTTCTGTGGTTTCTCTTTCAGTTTATTTTCTATCATGCCCAGTGCTACTGCAGTTCATGCTGTACACTTTTTTTTAATGCAATTTTGGAGCTGCTCTTCAGGAAAAACGTTTATTAACATGCATGAGCTACCTACTGGCCATTTTTTTCATATCTTGTTTATTTTGAATTCTTTTTCCTTGTTAGCTGTGATAAATTTCCACGTATTGTACATTTTTGTAGAAAAACAAAACCAAAATGTCACAACTGTCACTTTGACACTTTTCCCTCCAGCCCTACACTATATGTGCAGAAGTTCTAAATGTCAAACTGGAAGCAAAATAATGAAGGAATTCAGGGGCCTGAGTTGGGTGAACTGTGGAATTTGGTCTGAATCAATATGCAGTAATCTTTGTTGATACATATATACAATGCTGGAAAATATCGCTGTTCATCTCATTAGTCATCTTAAGAATTTAGGTTCACATCTATATACACAGTCAAATGCAGGTGAAGCAGATCTGGAGAAAATTCATGTGAGTGCATCAGAAGCATAATTGTGAAGTCTTCTGGGAATGGACCATATCAGTATTTTAATATGGGACTTTTAGAAACACCTTATAGGCTTTTCATAGTGATGTGACATAGTTAACTGAATTATCACCAACTCGCTACTTGTATATTGGAAAACCACATTGGATATATAGTAACTAATTTAAAGGTAATTTTGCAGTCTCATTCAAATTCAAGTGGAAAGGAATACCTTCCTATGGCTTGTACAATAATTGCAGAGTTGGAAAATAACGTAAAGATCAACTCTGGAATAAGTTGAGCTTTTCAAGAATAGAACTTACAATATACAACCATTAATTCGTCTTTCACTGCATTTGTTAGGGGTTAAAATAAAATGTCCTATATTAAATATGACATAAAGCAGGAAGAATGATTCCTACTGTATTATTTCTAACTTCTAGGGACAGATACCTTTACGCAAGAGATGCTTATGGTGAGCCATGGTGTTGGTGATACAGGTTATATTTTAAAGGTTTACAATGTGTATGTGTGTGGCTTTCCCTTTGTCTTTTTGTCATTTAGCCAGCAACAGTTAAAGAATCTTCAAGCAGCTTTGGGCAGTAGACTGGAAGAATCTCTATGCATAATCAATGAAAAAGTACCTTTTAATGACACAAGTATGTATTGCCTTGGTCTGGGTTTCTTGTTTAATTTTGGGTATCTGTCTGGAGGAAGTACTTCTTACGAGTTAAAATGTATTAGCTGTAAGAAATGTTGGACAGACACTTGGAGGTAATTGTAATAAATATTCATAATACTCATCATAATTGTCTAGTGATCTTAAAATACCAAGTTTTTATGTTTATATATGCATCTAATTAAAATTAAAAGTTTTGAAGGCTTAGGTAATTTGCCACTTGTCTGTCTCAGTGTTGACAGAATATTGTAAAAGATGAAGGAACAGTTTCTCCACAAAGAGTTACTCATCTCAGAGTATTATTTTTGGCAAAATATATTCAGGAGTTTCAGCAAGTTAAGATAAGCTGGTGGCTGCAGAGATGTTGACTTAACGAGGCATTGCATCAGTAACGGTCTACACTTACTATTAGCAGGAAGTCTGTCAGTGTGTCTCATGATCAGACAACCCCCAGACTAGTTCTTATCTGTAGCTTCTCTCAGACTCATTTATCTTTTCAGGGGAGAAAAGTTTCTTTGAATTTGGGGACTTTTACCTGAAGCAGCCTTTTTTATTTTCTTCCTTCCTAACTGCTACTGCATGAGCTGAAGGGCAGAGGACACCGTGCAGTCAGGAGTGCTCAGCCTTTGCACTGCTTTGGCGTGAGAATCGGTCTGTGAGCACCGGAGCAGTGCTGGGTCCTGGGGGCTTTTGTAAATTGCCTGAACACTGGGTTGTGCTTGGGAGGCAGCAATCTGCACTCTTCTGGCAGTGAGACCAGGAGGACCTGGGATAGGAGAAAAAAATGAAGGTAGTGGAGGAGTAGGAGCAGGGAGGTGAAAACAGGCTGTTGAATTTCTGGTAGGTTTTCTTGGTAGCTTTTGCATTTTTCATTTAGTTTAAAACTTGACGACAGTGTTTTGAATAGCATCAAGTTCTCTAAAAGCTCACCTGGTGGGTGCTGCAGGGGTGAGCCTTCAAAGTTCTGCACTAGGTTGGCAATCCAGTGAGTCTTGGCTTAGAAACACCACATAATATTCTCTTTAACAAATGTAGTACTACTGTTAGAAAAACAACTGTATATCAATAAGCGTGTCTTTACAAGTCATGATTTAATAAGTGTGTGTAACTCAATTTTTGTCCTGTAGGATCTAATCGATACAATGCTCTGAATGTGCCATTACACAACAGAAGGTACCAGGTAAGCATTTTTTGTGGCTTCATATGTAAAGATGCAACTTTCTACACAGATACTGAATAAAACCAGTCATTTTAGTGACACGAAATGGCAGAAAGTAGCCTGTTTTACTACTTCCAAGGGAATTTCTGTCCACAGAGCCTCTGCACTTTTCAGAAGGCGGTCTGTATTGTTCTTAGGTTGAGGTGTCAGGTTGTCTGCTCAGCCATGCTTCACTAGGGCTAATCCATTGACGACTGGCTGACAGTCGCCGTAGGTATTGACTCAGACATGCCATTCTAAAAGGAATGACAAATAGGGTTTGATATTTGTCCCTTAAAGTTATATGAAATTTTCCTTTTACTGTGCCAACTTGAAGTAAGTTAGAACTAGAACACTTGATTTTTAAAGTTGGTTAAAACTACATTGGTTTAGAAGTCTTAAGTTTTTTGTCGCGAAGAGGTAGTTTTGGTATCTTGAAATTATTTTGACTAGTCACAATGGACACTATGGACAATCTACAAATGCAAACACTCTCTGGGGTTCAGGTGATGTGACTGAAGCAACTCAGTTTGAGGGACAAGGATTTTAAGGAATAAATCATGTATCTTTGAGAAGTCTGCATGGTTCATTTATTTTGTGGGATACTTCTTGCCAAACACCTCTTACTTGCAGCTGAATTCCCCTGATCAATTTAAATTTTTATTTTTTCAAAAAAAGAAACAGTTTCTGTTCATTGCTGTAATTCCAACACTTTCCTTGGGAATGTGGTTAACTTGATTTCCAAAAATGAGCATTAGTTTTCTGTGAATAGCTAAATCTGTTCAGGCTTTTTACAGGCTTTTTTACTTGATTAAGTCAAAATTTTTTTGTGTATTTTTTTTCCCCTACGACTGAGGGTGGGCACCACAGCACTCAGTATTTTTTTTTCTTTTTGCTTGTGTGATATGTCTGCAGAAAGATTTCAAATAACTGCTATTTTCTTCAGAAGTTCCCCTAAAGAGATGTTGTTCCTAACAGATGACCTACTGTCCAGTTTTGTGACAGAAGTAGCCTTAGATCAACCTGTTGCTGAGTTCTAAGGAAAATCTGAACAACTCTGTGGAGACTTTCTCCCTTGACTGTTTTCTGCTAGCACTATGTCAGTGAGCCTCATGTTTCAAGATCTGCAGTCTTGAAGATGTTCCAGGACAGATTTTTATGACTGGCATTGCCAGTGGAGGCAAAATGGTGGTGTATTAGCACAGCCTGCAGTGTAAAGGACACCATCCAGTAATATTTTCTGTTCTTCTTCCTTGTGTAGTTAGTTAAGGTACACAAACATAGTATGATGACTGCATTAACTGCCACCATCCGTGATCCAAAATCAGGATTCACTTGATTTAACGCTCCATTGATGCATTAGGAATACATCTCTGAATGATAAGTCATTCCTGGCTGAAATGTCACTTTCACCTTATTCTCACCTCGATAAATCACATCAGAGTGTGGTTTTCTTCTCTGTCGCCTTTGCTTTTTCAGAATGTTCCATTTTGGATTCATTTCTTAGATCACTTCCTACTGCACTAAAGCCACAAACAGCCTTATTCATGAGCAGCAGCTCAGTTCTATCCAGGTGGGAGAATAAGAACTGTGTGTTGCTGATTAGAGAAGCAGACATCTTTTATTCTGAGAGAAAACCTTGTTGTTTTTTTGCTAAATACAATTAGGTTTCCGAACAACCAACTGTTGCAGATTTCTTACTGTCACCACACTGAAAGAACTGAGCTGCTGTCAGCAATTATTCTACTGGTCTTCAGAAATCCTACTTTCAAAGATGGCTTCTGCAGTTGTACTAACCTCTAAGTGTTCTGGTGGCCTGTAGTTTAAGAAATGCAGCAGTGGCAAGGCATCACCTGTTTTATGAAATAAAAATATACTTTGTCATCATAGAAAAACATGCCCTGCTGTGTGGCATTGTAGGTTACTCATAAGCTTTGTAAAATAGGTTCAAGTTAGTTGCTGCTATGTATTTTAGGCTGAACTAGTGACCAGAAAGAAATCATCTATAGCAAATTTTTGCATCCGACCATAGATTATTTTTTTCCTGTTTAAGTCAAATATAGTAATTTTATAACTGTCTTTACAGCTGAAGTTGCGAGACCTTGCTGGCCAGGCGCTGGCTTTTGTTCAAGAACTTGTAACAGCTCTTTTGAACTTCCATACGTACACTGAGCAGAAGGTTCAGATCTTTCCCATTGATTCTGCAACAGACACTATATCACCGTTAAATCAGAAGGTAAAGCTTACAGATTTCAGCTACAAGTATATTTGGTTTTCAGCTACAAGTGTATTCAATTATGTGGACTTTCATGAGTGAATAATCTTAGTCATGCAAACTTCTGCCACCTTTACTGGAACGCTCTGAGTGTGTTCCTGAGAGGCAGCTTCTCTGCATGACCAGTCTTTTTTTTGGGTGAATTTCCTCAATGTGGGTGAAGGAGTAGCTGCAGAGAATTTTTTCCACTCTGCCTCTACCACAAGAGCAGCATAATGGTCAAATCAAGGCTTTGCTTTTTAAGTACTAAACTAGAGTGCCTTTGTCAAAAATTCAGCTGACTTACTTTGAAATGCACCAGTAATGAACTGCTTGCCTTAGTTAATGTACTGGGATGTGGGACATGTTGAGATGGAAGGTCTTGTGCTTAAAGTGTTTAATGTGAAATAAACTGAATGTAAGGTAGGCTTATGAAGGAGAGAACTTAGACTCTCTTCCCTTGGCAAAACCAAGCTTTATAACCTGATTTTGGGCTATTTGTGTAAAGACCTTTCCTGTAAGTGTTCCGATGCTTCAAGTCTGTAAAGCGTGTTGAAGTTATTACAAGAAATCTTTCCAGTCTCTTTCTGTGCAGCTTCGTGGGAAGACTTTTCTGCGAGTATCATTCAGAGCTGTTAACCTGCTTCTTTTAACTTTCTATGCTGGGAAGCACGGGAAAGAGCTTTGTGCACAAGGAGTTGGGTGGGGATGCGTATATGTATGCCTCAGAATAAAATTCCTTTAAAATCAGAATTGTTGACTTCATAGTGCAAGTGGACCTATGTGCATTTAAGTTGCCAGATGACTCTGTTTTCTGATTGTCATTTCAGTTTAGTGGTTTGTAGGGTTCAGACAAGCTACTGAGACGGGTGTGATTTGCATTCATCAAATGACTGCAACACATGCAGTGGCAGTGTTTTAACTATTGCAGAACTTTTCTTGGGAAGACCTCCTGTAATCTCTTTGCAAGCAATAAATACTCATGCAAAGGTGTTCATCAGCTAGAGAATCCCACTCTACCTTCTCTGTTTCAACTGTTTCATACACTTTTACAGAGTTTTAGCATAGATCTTGGTTTGAGAACGACATTTTCTTGCTCCTGCCACCAAACAGACTCAAAATGGCATATCCTCCTTGTGAAACTAAGTGGCTGTGACGTCCTCCAAATTCTTTTGGGCAGATACTGTGTCCCCTTGTTTATGTGGCCCAGTGTGGTGAATAGATTCTGTAGGTGCAGTTTACACAGACAGAATAACATGGAATTTTCACTTGTCTCGTGTTTTTTTCTTGATATCTTAGTTAACACTGTTGCTTTTTGGCAGAAAAGTGCTTTCACACAGCAACTTAATCAGAACTGTAATTTGATTCTCCTTTTCTGATAATTGATTCTGATTCGGTAGTTCAGGCTTTGTTTGTTTTCATAATTATGTCTCTTGTAGTCTGCCCCATTGTGTATTCATGACCTAATTGCCTCGGTGCATGCTACCTCTCAGGGCTTTTGCTGTGACTTTCCAGCAGTGAAGCATCTTTTATCCCTCACTGAAGCTGCTGTTGCTCCTGTATTTTTGATTAATTTACCTATTTGCTTGGCAAGTGTTCTCAGCGTGATCTTGCCTCCTCTACTGAGTGGTTCAAAAACCTCCCTTTAATGTGGTAGAGAAAGTAAGACAAGTGTCAAGTAGAGGCTTAGCACACTTGCACTGATTTATTTTTCCCCAACTCCAGGTCTTGTCTGGCGCTTTCGAGCTATTTTCCCCAACAAACACTCAAAGTACATGTGGACAATTCCCCTCCAGGTTCAAGTATTCCTTTTCTCTTTAAGTATTGGATTGCTGGGTTCTGCTGGGTCTTCAGCATCATGCCAGATAACTCCAGTCCTCTCTCTTGCAACACAAGTCAGGAGCATTCTGCATGTGTTAATTCTTCCTCCTTAGATTTAGGAATTTTCCCTAATTCCATCCAGATCTGTGCATGCATGAATGAGAGCTTGGCATCTCTCTTTTCTGTTAACACTGTGTTACTGCACTGTAATAATACAAGAAATGATTAAAATTTCTCATACCCTATTTGCCTGGGATCTTTGGCTACTGTTGTGGTATGAATAATCAAAGGTGCAGGTGTCTTTCTGTGGGATAAAATAAAAAAAACAGGTCACTTTTGACTACCTATGTCAATCTGTCAAAAAACCTTTTTGCAATACTGTGGTATCAAAACTGAAGACTGGCAGGACCGTTACAATTTAATTGTGTGTAAAAGTAAACAGCTTTGTTCTTCAGTATACTTTTTTGAAGGCGAAGTCAGCCACAGAATTTACTTGAGCAATTTTTAGTGAAATCAGGCAGTTCTGTGGTGCCAAAGTTCCATAACTGCTCACACTCATCCTAGTTCTTGAAAGTAAGAATTATCCCTTTGCTTAGTTACTGCACCAAATCTTTGTAATGGTATAAGGAGGCTTTGACCTCACTTGAAAACGACACAGATAAAGATTAAAGATTGTATCTCTTGCACTCGCTTTTAATTCAGTTTAGTTGTTCAATACCTTGCACAGCATAGCTGTGCAAATGTTCGTGCTGCTGCACAGGACAAGGGCTGAGAGACAAACAACAGCAGAGAGGAAGGTAGGATAAGTTATTCAGGTGGCTTAATGGGGCATGGATCTAGCCTTAATTTGATGGAGTTGAGCAAGGAATGCAAGAATGTTTAAACTGAAGCCAGGGTTTGGTGTGCATGGCAGTTACATTGTGACAGGGTGTTGTGGCAAAGCCCTACATGGCTTTTTGCCTGGATTTCCGCTGTCGTCTTCAGTATTTCTCATGTTCCCTCAAGGTGTGTGTTTGTGCATCCTGTAGAAGAGGTTGCTGTATGTCACTTGACTGTTATATCTTATTATTGACATCATGGGGATCATTTAAGATGTCAGGTGCTTTGCCAAAGTGGACAGTTTGATTGTAAGCTTGAAACAGTTTGGAAGAGCCTGCAGCAAGCACCCTTTTAAAATGTCTCTGTACTCAGTTCTCACAGTATCTTCATGAAAATGCTTCCTATGTTCGCCCTCTGGAGGAAGGAATGCTTCACTTGTTTGAGAGTATTACAGAAGACACTGTGACGGTCCTGGTAAGACTTCTTATTTTAGGTATTAAAAAAGATTTTTACAGAGCAAAAATACTTATGCATTATTTTTCTTTCCAGGAAACCACTGTGCAATTGAAGGCCTTCTCAGAACATTTAGCCTCCTACTTGTGTTTTTTAAGGAAGATTCTTCCTTATCAGTTAAAAAGGTACTTTTGATTTGCTACATCAAATTAAAGGGGCACTAAGTGTCAGGCATACAGCACTGCCAACACCTGCAACTCCAATATTAAGTCAACTTTTAAACCACTCTGGCTTAAAAGGCAGAACCTTTGATTTTGCCTGCTGGTTCTTGAGCCTCTTTAGCTTATGCATTTTTTTTTTTTTTTTCAGCTGGACATTAGAGCTAAACCATGTATTTTAAAGCCTTTTCCCCCCCCTTTCACAGATGAAATTTTAATGAAAGCTGCACAGGTTTTTTTTGTTTCTTAATGCTATTTAATAGCATTGATGCTATTCAGATATGATATGCTGAAACAGTTAATTTCTTGAGCCTGTCTGAAAATTGTTTGTCATGCTGTAAATATAACAGTGTAGTAAAACTTGGCCAGATGTGCATCCCTTCTGCAGTGAAATGGGCGTATTATGTGCACACGGTAATTTTCATGTATTGCTAAGTTAGTCTGAGATGTTAACCTTTCTAAAATAAATTCCTAGTCTGATGTTGCTTTGGCCTGAGGTTGTAGAGAACACTAGTTATCTACTCCAAAACTCATGAATTTTAAGATAATTGCTCACTCTTAAAAAAAAATAATTCATATATTCCTAGTTTGGAAGAAGAGTGTGAGTCTTCTCTTTGCACAGCTGCTTTAAGAGCTAGAAATATGGAGCTCCACAGAGACATGAAAAGGTTGACTGCAGTCTTTGAGAAACTACATACGTACATTAGTCTTCTTGCATTACCAAGTAAGTGCCAGTTTGGGCTCAGTTAGTTGCATTGCAACTGAAGGGTACTAGTTTTCCTTTTCGACCACTTGTGGGGTTTTATTTTGGTTTTGTGTTTGTTTGGGGTGTTTTGTGTGTGTGTTGTTTTTGTTTTTTTGTTTGTTTTTTGGTTTTTTTTTTAAACAAGACACATAAAATACAGCTTCTGTGATAGAGGAAAAGGTGATTAATGCTACTCTTTACGTGTAGTCTCAGCTATGAAGCAAGGGAGTTTGGCAGTGTGCTCTCTTATACTGGACCCTCTTTTATCCAGGTTGGGAGACTGTGCTGTAGAGTGTTTCTGTAATGCTCCACACTCTTCATTCTGGATAGACATAGGTGATGCAGGTTTGGAGATTACCAAGCAGTCACATGTACCACATTTTAGGTAGTCACAGTTCATCGCAGAGGAGAAGAAATGACTGTAGGTTTTTATAGTATGATTGACAGTATGTCTTTTGTCATCTCTTAATCATGAAATTGTTAATTGACTACATTTTATTAGTAATTATTCCTTTCAGCTCCTTCTGTTCATAATATTATTAAACTAAATCTCTCATGGTAATGACTAAACAAAATTAGGTAAAACCTTTGTGTGTATGTGTGTGAGGAAACTATTTCAAAATGCATACTGTAAGAGGAAAGTTATTATATGGCTTCAGGTTATTTCAGTCTTTTCAGAAGTACCCAGATGGTCCTTCCTACAGCAGTGAACATGTAAATCCTTCTGCATGTGTAATTGCTTTTTGAGAACAAAACAGCTGATATTTATAAAATATGAATGAAATTTAGGAAACTTGAAAGTCTTTTACTGGCCTACTCAGGCAAAATTTGGTGTAACTGTACAGTTGATATCAAAGAGAAAATTTAAGTAAATGGACCTGTTATGATTCTTATACTCCATGCAAATATTTCTAGTAGGTGGAAATTGAACTATTTTCAAAGCTAACTCTTTACATTCGTTGTCAGATCTTAGTGCTGTGTGTTTTGCTTTTTGTTTACTGTAGGTACAAACCCAGAAGGACTTCTTCGGACAAATTACAGCTTAGTGTTTACAAACATTGCTGCAAGTCTCCATGGATTTCATGACATTTTAAAAAGTGAGAGTACAGGAATATTGTTATGTTTCAGCTCTGCTTTGTTCTGTTTAACATAGTACACATGTACTCTTTCTGTAACAATGTTGAATGTGTAATATGATAAATTTAGAATTTTTTGCCTTTACAAAGTAAGATAAGAAACTAAACCTACTAAGTAGTTTTGGACATACATGCGTGTTTTTCACTCCTCTGTTATGTTAGCTTTGTTCTAAGTGGCGCTATAGATCGTCCTAGATCTTCACTTCCTGAACTCTGTTGCTGTAGTAGAACTAACATACAGGATGGAATGCCATTAAATGTACATATTTTCTCCTACTTAGTTACTGTTGACTTCTAGGTGGAATTTTTTGTTACTGGTTTTAGCTTGATTACAATGCTTACATGAATATGTAACCAAAGCATACGAAGAAGTCTGCATTCTTTTTGAAACTTAACTTCCTCCTTGAAAATGGCTTATCTTCCTTTTATCAGAGCAACATAGATATGTTACGTTTTCAGTGAAGTGATGCTTGACTCAAATTGAGGGGTTTTAAACACTGATGTTTCTGTATATCTAGAATTTCTGTACCATATAACTCTTCCCAGGGGAGGAAAAATAAGTATGGGTGAATTGTTTTTAACAGTAGTCAGCTATTTAAACGTTAAACTTTTATACTTTTAAGGAAAATTGGTTTCTTTTTCTTTTCCTTTAGTAATAACATCAATAGTATGGCCCTGTTTTACAGAGTCCCCATTGTTTAAAAAAGAAAGATTTTGTTAGGGATTGTACCTCAAACAAAATGAGACACTAAAGGAAGACTTTTGTAGCATAGATAAGTTTATTAATAAATACCTTCTGCCTCTTAATGTAGTTACTAAAATGTAAAATCAACCAACGTACACTTTAACAAAGGAAATAGAAGCATCAAAGAGAACTGTCAGTGGCATTCATTAGCAAGGAAGAGAAATGTTGTGCTTAACATCTCATGCTCCCATGTCCAGAATGCCTGATTTGTCACTTCTCTCTTCCTTCCCAACCCAAACTAATTTCCCACTCCTTAGGCTTGCCTCAGTTTATAACTTCTGGCGGTGGTGACCTGGGATTTCTCCATTCTGTAGCAGTAGTACTTTATTGTAAAATAGGTGCAAAATGTAATAATTACTTTAATTAGGCCAAGTTGAGAATGTATGTTTTTGCATGATAAATGCTTGAGTCTTTTTAAATTTTGGTGCCATTGAAATTGATTAGGATATTTAAGGTAAGATGTTTTTGTGAATGACATACGGTGTTTTTTTCCCTCTCTGAAAACTGTTCTGTTAATTTTACCTGAAAGAACTACCAAGTATAGAAAGATGCATTCTAAACTTTTAGTAGTCTTTTTGATTTGCTCTGACAATTAAATTACTTTTCCAAGTCATATAAGCCTAACATTCAGATATTGAACATGACAAAAATTTCTGCTTCTAAGTGTCCAAATGTAAACTTATGGAAATAGAAAGTGCTAGTTCTTGACTAGCTTGACTCCCTATATAGCTTTGATTTTGGGGATAGAGTCCATTTAAATATACGCCGTTATTCTGCCTTGTTTAACAGGTGTAATATTCTTTATGATCACAGACAGTTGTCTAAGGCAGTATACTGAAAAACTAAGAGTATCCAGACTAAACTTTTCCACAACTTAGAGGGGACCAGCATTCGAAGCCTGAGGTCATAAGCTGAATTTGGAAATGGTTGCCAAAGTGGACAAAAATCATCATTTAACATAAATCTGTCTTTTTCTAGGTATTTCCAAACACTACAGTCAGAAAGCTACTTTAGAGCAAGATGTTCCAACTGCCACACAGAAACTTGTAACTACAAATGACTGTATTTTATCCTCTCTTGTGGCTTTAACAAATGGAGCAGGCAAGGTACTGGATATTTTTGTTTTGAGATAATGCCCTAACTTGTGCAGTTTTTGTTTGTTTGTTTGTTTTTGTTTTTGTTTTTTTTTTAAATAAAGCTTAGTTGAATGATTTGGAAAATGTTGTAGGCCTCTGATATTAATAATCTACAGTATCAGGTTTGTTCTAAGGTATTTTCAGGCAACAAGTTAGAAACAGAATGAGTAATAAAAATAGGTAATGTGAAAAGGATGCTTTGTGTTAGTAAGGTCTAAGGTTTATGTGGAAGAGCCTGTAGCCTGTTTGAAATTCTTGTTGTGAAGTCCAGTTTCACTAAATACTTGCCTTTCTTTTGAAAGAGTGATTGCTCTGAATCTGGTCAACATAATTAAAAAAAGCGAGTTTTCTTGATGTGTCTAGATTGCCTCATTCTTTTGCAACAACTTGGATCACTTCACTGCTTCGCTGAGCTATGGCCCTAAAGGAGGAACGGAGTTCATCAGCCCTCTTTCAGCCGAGTGTATGCTGCAGTACAAGAAAAAGGCGGTTGCTTACATGAAGTCTTTGAAGAAGGTTTGTTCAGCTAGCATGATCGCCCAGAGAAAGCACAGTCCTGTGGATAGTTGTGCCAAAGGGAATGCAAACTAAGGATTTTCAGTATTTGGAATGGATGAGATTCTTTGAATGAAAACCTTTGGCTGAGGAAATGGAACCCTTAGAGCAATAACGTTATCGAAAGCTTTAGAGAGCATAGTTGCCCTCACAGCTCAGGGTATGTGCCAATCCTGCTGTTACCCATTTCCACTAATTATTTCTGTGCCAAAGCTCCAAGAAGAGGGTAGCTGCTTATTTAAATTTCCTCCTGTATTCACCAGGAATATGCAGTGAATGACATCATATTCCTATACTTGCATTTAGTGAAAGACAGTGGAGAGCTGGGAAAAAAAAAAGAAAAGCAACTGTCAGAGAAATGTGCTGGAGAAAATGTGCTGAACCAAAGGATTGAATGCTGCCAGATCTCCCCGTTGTCTCCATTAAAATTAACAATTAAGTAAAGGTGTGCTTACCAGGTGTTATTAAATCACTTTACTGCATTCTGTGTAAAGTGGACCTTAAGATGAATTTGAATTAATACTTGGAGTTTTCTGAGCACTTTTTAATCAGTTATGCATTTTGGGGACAGTATTTTTTGTGACCTCAAACCATTTTTTCCACGGGCTAGTAAACACTTGGAAGATATTTTTCTTCCTTATAGTGAAGTAAGGAGGACAATAAGAAAACAAATGTAGAATACATACTCTGATCTACAGCAAAACATGTTTTGAGGTTTCTTTCATCCTTCTGCAGCCTTGTGCAGATTCAGTGCCTTATGAAGAGGCTTTAGCCAATCGCAGAGTTCTTCTGAGCTCCACAGAAAGTAGAGAAGGACTTGCACAACAGGTATTCTGGTCTAAATTTTACTAAGATATATGATAGTGTATTTTATAAAGGCAAAGTAGTAACAAATTGTTTACACACATTTATGTGTCATCATTTGTACATATATATGCATATACCAAAGCTAAAAATTAAAGACTGTACATGTCTTGTAGTTTTGAAAGTAAAACTTATCCTTGTTGGGCTGTATTATCAGAGACTTATTCTATGCTTGCAGAATATACATGTAGTTATAAGAGACAGGATTATGCCATCGATGTCTTCTTCATTTATAAATACATAAAGTCAGGCAATTGTTAAGAATTCAGATAAATGCAAAATAAATACAAGAATAATGCTGAATAACACTGAAGTATTAATTTCTAATGTTATGTACTGGTTTGAGTGCCTATTTGGACTATGTGGGGCTTATTAGTACTAGTTAACAGCAATGAGTCCATTAATAGATTACAGTTTACCATTCTTGCAGTGTGCTTGTATTTTATTTTTTTTCTTGAAGGTGAGGCAGAGGGAGATTAAAGGGTATTTAAAAGGCCTACACAGTTTGCCCATCTCCTATGAATGAGACTAATTTAATGCTAAAGCTTATTTATTACCCTGAATATACAGGCTATGCTTCAGTCACAGTCGTTACAGAAGAAATAGACTTCAGTAGTTTTTGTTTATAGTGTCCAATATTCAAAGTATTAGTAGGGATGAGATGAATTTCAGCAGAAGTACGTAGAGCACACAATGTGGATTGTCCCATAGCAGATTTCTTATCTGGAAAAGTGTGTTCTTCCATCTATTTGAGATGGAGCAGCTGGGAAGAGAGAGATTGTTTGTCTTCCTAGCATAGAACAAGACAATGCTATTGCCAGGCAATAAATTTTCATTAAAATTTCATAAAATTTAAGTTTTCACAAAATTCTTCCCTGCTGTCATTTTTTTCACCTAATATGATGTTGCCAGTTCTATGAGCCATAACAGTGATGCGTGTTTCAGACTAATCACGTGGTCATTTTTGTGCACAGTTAAGCCTACGTAGTTGTTTACCTGTCGCATTACTCGTTAGCTCACTCGTGTAATGGTTTAAAACAATACTGGCTTCAAACATTTCCTGTGCCTGACTTTTTTTACACCCGCCCTGTGTTCCGTAACCTGAACTGTAAACTTTCCCTCCTAAAGGTCCAACAGAGCTTGGAGAAAATTGCAAAACTTGAACAAGAAAAAGAACACTGGATGTTGGAGGCCCAGCTGGCTAAAATAAAGCTAGAAAAAGAAAACCAAAAACTGAAGAACTCTCTTAGCGGACATTTAACTGAAGCTGTACAAGAGCGTTCTGTTTTGCCAAATGTAGCTGAACAAAAGAAGGAAACCACAGAAAAGAATACTATAAAGAGTACTAGTCTGGTAAGTGACCTTTTCCCTTCAGTAGAGGAAAAATCCCCTTTCTTTTAGCAGTAGTACTGGTTGATTAGTGGAGCACTAATAATGAAAGCTTTTTGACTGTGGTGAAATGAATTCACACTTGGGCTCTTTGTACTTGCAAAGCTGCTGTTAATGCTTTCTGCAGAGTTTGGAACTTTGTTCACTGTCTTTAATTGTAGTTCTGTACTTGTATGACTGAGGGGGAGATAATAGGTGCTTAACTTCTGGATTTTTCTGACTCTCTAGTTAGGAAGCCTTGCAAGTAGTATGTATCTCAAGTTGACTCTGAGTTTCCAATAATTTTTTTATCTCTAGGTAAAGCAAATTGAAGTAGGTATTTAGTATTTTTAAATGGGTTATAAGACTTATTATAGCTGTAGCGTAGTTTTAACTTGAAGAAGCTATGCAAGCTTTCAGTGTTCCTTGGAACAATAATTTTTATGTAGCTTTCATAGGTGCATACAACTTGGGTTCAGCAATTGCTTTTGGATATGGCATGCATTCTGTCCTTTTCTATGTTGGTAAATAGCTTTTTCCTGTTTATTACTAGTATTTAAAAGGAGTTGGCCTTTCCTCTGAACTACCACTTCTGAAGTGGTATTAACAGGGATGTCATCTGTAACAAATAACCAATCTATTCAGCTCAGCACTCAACAGGATTCTTCCTTTTTTCCCTGCCACTTTCATGCTCCAGGATAAAAGCAACTAGTGGATTGTCTTGAAATTCTTGATTTTTGAAGTAAACTGACATTTTAAGTGTTTGATCTGTTAAGGGTTTTAGGAGAATAAGCATTGTGCAGATGTAACTCATACTGTATAAATATTTACCATAAACCTAGTCCTTTTGAGATCAGAAAAAACCCTCTGATTCTCTAAGAAGATATTCTTCCACAAAACTGGATATTGGTGTACACCCCTCTGCTAGAGTTTTTTCAGTGCTTTGTGCTGAACTGTTGATGTAATTTACTCGTCAAAGTGGAAAGAAAGGAATTCAGAAGATACTTAAGAAATCCAGGTTGGCTTTTCCTGTTCTTAGACACAAAAAGTAATGTTTCAGTGTACTAATGTACCTCTGAATTAGTTTCATGTAATCAAACTGTTGAACTGCATTTTGTTGCTTTTTTCCCTGTGAACATTGTGAGGCAAAGGATATATTTGGAGAGTTAATGTCAGTTTTAATTCTGTTCAAGGCATTAATGTATATTATCCTTGTCTATGTTACAGGTGGAAGTACTTAAATTTGGTTTTAGTTTTAACTGTTGAAAGATTTTTTTAATTTAAATTCCTTCTATGGCTGAAGCTGAAATGACTTGCAGCTATGGTATCTATTTCTGCACTTCTCATTTAAATGTATTTTCTTCCTTGTTCTAGATTGGAATGTTGACTATAACTACTGATAATGAAAAGGTAATCTTTTAAATGTTTTAAACATTACGAAAATACATCTGGCAAATACTTCAGTTCTGATTCTGTTCAACTTATTCCAAAGGTCTAATTACCAAGAATACTATTATATAGTGGCCCATGTAGTCTGTATACTATATGCTCAAGTTTTCTGAAATTGACTTATTTCTCAATTTTTTTCTGTTTAGTGAACTGTTATCTTTTATTCATGTGAGCAATTTGGAGCAGTGGGAACTGTGGTCACAGTCTCTGTAATTTGAGGAAAGTGGTGGTCTGTTTGTACTTCAGTAACCCTAACTGCATTCCAAGCTTCGCTTCTTAACACTTGAGGAAGGGCTCAAGTTGCTCAAGAGTTACTGAGTCTAGTGCCTGGTGTTCAACACTAGAGTACGGGCTATCCCAAATGAGAGGTCACACTGAAAGGAGCTGGGAACTAGCTGTCAGCCTAAATGCTAAAAACTCTTTGTGTAGCACTGCCGTAGTGTAACACTTGCCCAGCAGGAACTGGGCCTAGTTAAGAGTCAGTGCTTTCCCTTTTCTGATACTGCAGGGAATGGATTTGTGTTTTAGTTTATTCCTCTTTGGAGGGAGCAGAGAGTAGGGTGGGTAACCACTGCTACAGGTTCTCAGAGATACAGTACAGTGCCAAACGTGAAGGTAATCAGTCACCTGAAAGGTGCCTCTGATGAGTTACTCTGTAACTCACAGGAAACTGGAGAATGGTAGTCTTTTGCTTTTTAAAGTTCAGATGTCTAAAGAAACTAGTGGAACGTACAACACTGAAAATAGTTCTGACTGTTGGGAGCTTCTGAAATTGTTATATGAAGGAATCCTTCCTTGTTGGGAAAAGCCAGTAAGTTTCTATTTAGGTGAAAGGAGTCCACTGGAGTATTATCTTCATCAAAGACTTGATATGTTAAATGCTGCTAACGTCTTCATCTTGAGCTATCTCTCTGTCCTTTAGAGAAGTCTGACATGGAGAGTCACCATCAGAGCGACAAATTGCAGAATGACCTGTTATAATTTGTCTGTTGTATTTGGGGAATTTAATGCTTTTGGGTAGAGCAGCCAGGCCTCAGGAGGGAAGATGTCAGTAGAGAGGACAATGTTGTGATGCAAATATTCAGTCTATAAACATAAATTTCTGCTTAAATTGTTGTTTTGCCAGGCTCCAGATGTTGAGTCTCGTGAAGACCTGATAAAGACCCACTACATGGCAAGGATAGCTGAACTTACATCTCATCTGCAGCTTGCTGACAGCAAATCAGTACACTTTCATGCTGAGGTGAGCATGCAGGCAGTGTCTCTGCTGAAAACAGTAAATCCTTTTTTGGACTTTCCACAGGCAACTGTTATAAGAACGAGTTTAAATATACAAATCCATAATATTCTGTTTCTGAAATATGCTTTTTTGACTGTGGCCTAATACGCGTAAAAATGGATACTGTAGAAGGACTTTAAAAAAAAAGTCTTGATAGCCTTTTCTTGGGTGTATTAAGAAGTACAATGTGTATAATGCATAGGTTTGTTCATATAAGTTGAAGCAGCTGGCTTTAGTTACCAAGCTGGTTTTGACTTAAGTGACACTGATGTCATTCAAAAATGTTCAAGTGTGTCATGAAGTAATGAAAACAGCTCTCCTCTGAGAAATCGTTTCTTAGGAGTAAGTTATACTTCAAGAATTAACAAAATGATTCACTATATCTATGGTTTCCTGGTTTTTTTTCAAATCGTGAGGTAATTTTTCTTGAAACTAGTGACTATTTTAATCTGTGTAGCTAACTGATGTGGAATACAACAAAGCTCCAGGTTAACAGAGCAAATCATCTTAAATATTTTTTTTTAATGGTAGATGACACAGTAAGGAGAAGCCATCTTTCTCTGGTATTTGAGCAATGTATGAAGCAAGTTGTTTGTATTGCTTTTTACTTAATAAATATTTCCGAGTAATTATGTGAAAAATATATTTAAAGGATTGGCAATATGGTAATTCTGTAAAATTAAACAAAAATGTAATGTTCATTATTACATTACCTTTGCATTTAAAAATGTGCACAAGCTCTGACTAAGTTTCTTAATCTAAAGATTACAGAAAAGCAATCAGTTAAAGAAGGCATGAGGCAATATTCTGGAACTAACTTTTCTCCCTTCCACCCTTCCTGTCCTGTTCTGATTGACAAGTGTCGAGCACTTGCCAAAAGACTGTCGTTAGCAGAGAAGTCCAAGGAATCACTCACAGAAGAGCTGAAACTGGCTAGTCAAAACATCAGTAGATTACAGGCAAGTCAAATGTTACATAATGTAATGGATGCACTTCATAATCCTGTGTAAGGGGAAGTTGGAGGAGAAAAATTACAGCCATCAAGCATGGATATGCCTTTATTAGGTTCTTAGTTATGTGATATTAAAACTCTAATGGTATGTAGAGAGGAGACTTAAATAATACACTTCAAATCCCAGGCATAATATTGAAGTGAAACATGTTTGCAAGGAAAAGGTTGTAGTAGCCAAGCCTGTGCTTTAGCACATTTGATGTCAAGGCTTTTTCTGAAAATGTATTGAGTTTGTTTTGGGTTTTTTATGTCAAAAAGTGATTTTGTGACTGATTTCAGATAATACACCAAATTCTTAAACCTTTCCAGCACCTAGGACTGAAAATCTTAGAGATGCCAGGCTGGTTTGGTTGGTTGGTTTTCTTTTTCAGATGGATACCTTAATATTAAGCAAAAATAACTTTGGAGTAATCTTTAAGAAGCCGTGATTAAAAATAAAGTGTTAGGCCAGACGTCCTGTGAGTGTCCTGCCCTTTTGTCCTTCCCCTTGACACAGCTGAGAAAGGAGGTGATATTAAAAGAAAGTATATATAAGTGTTCAGATCATAAATACCTTTGTTTTCTTTATATTTAGTTCATGTCTTTATTGCTCATTTGAGATGCTGAGTACCTAAAATGCTCCATACAGGCAATGAATATAATGATATACACTAAAAAGAATTGTTCATAAACACAAAGTGCTCTTCTGATTTGTTCCTTTAACAAATTCCTCAATCAGTATTCATCTCGGCATGAGATGTTAATCTCCAATTACGTATTAAACTTCCTAAGAAAAGACAGCAGGTGCCCCATTTGTATGTTTAGTAGCCTGCATAATATTGAATTGTAGAATTGTTTAGGTTAGAAGGGTCTTCTGAAGGTAACCTAGTCCCCTCCTTTGGTCAGAGCAGAGAAAGACGAGATCAAGCTGTTGAATCGGGAGTTTCCTGTACAGCCGTGCTGGCTACATTTCCTAAGCATTGGACTGTTCTTTGCTCTGTCCTTGATCATTCAGCTTTCCTGGACTCCTTCAATTTCCAAGGCAGTTTTATCTGGGATATTGCCAAGCAGACCTTGAAAAAGCCAAAATCTACTTCTCTTAAACCTAGGGTTGCTGTAATTCTACTATTCATCTTGCTTGCTTCCCTCAGGATATTAAATTCCACTAACTCATGGTTGCTGCAACCAACGCTACCATTGGCTTTCACATCCCTGACCAGCTTTTCCTTATTTGTGAGTAACAGGTCCAGCAGAGAGCATCTCTTAGGCCTACTGATCACTGATACCAAGAAATTATTTACCACACTCAAGAGAACTCCTGAATTGAATTGCTTGCGTTCCACCTTGTTGCCCTTCTAGGAGATGTCAGAGTAGTTAAAATCCCTCATGAGGACCAGGCTCTGGGATCGAGATATTTTTTTTTTTTAATCTGCTTGTAGCAGATACCTGTCGTATTTGACTTGTTCGTCTCTGATACCCACCTATGAAATCTTAATTGGCTTCAAACCACCCCTACAAGTAAAGCATGATTTCTCCCCTTTCTGTCCTGTCCTTCCTAAAGTGTCTGTGTCCCTTCGTTGCTGTGTCCGAGTTATGCACACTACCCCACCGTATCTCTTGAATCCCGGAGAGACTGTAGCTCTGCAACTGCATGTGGATTGATGATTCTGTCAACTTTGTATGCCACGTATGGTTGTGTACAGGCTGTGCTCTAACCCTTAAAAACTTGTTTCTTGGCTGGAAGTAATGTTGGAAAACTTAGCTGTTAGTCTTAAGTAAGTCATAAAAAGTGGGGGGAAAAATTATAAAGGAAACAGAAGAAAAAATAAGGGGAACAGGCCATGCGTGAGACTTCAGATAAAAGAAAAATAGCTGGTAACTTTCTTTCATAAAGTGATTTAACTTAATTGCACACATTCAGCATCAAAACTGTAGCTTACTAAGTGGAGGTAGAAGTTGACTGCTTTGCCACTTGTTGCTACTATTGACCAAGGTCTTCTGGTAATTTTTTTTTTTTTTGCCTTAGGATGAGTTGATGACAACGAAGAGGAGCTACGAGGACCAGTTAAGTATGATGAGTGACCATCTCTGCAGTATGAATGAAACCTTAACTAAACAAAGGGAAGAAATTGATACACTCAAGATGACTAGTAAGGTAAGTAGCCAGGTGTCAACACTAGGTACGGGCTGCAGTCTCTGGGTGTCCTGCAGTACTACCCTTTAACAAACCACTTCACAAGCTGTAGTTCTTATTCTCAGCCAGCTGGAAAGAAAACTCCAGATTTGGTCCTGCATGTTTCAGTGAAGGAGAGAAACTTTCTATCAGTGCTTCAAAGTAGGCTTTCAAAGTGTACCTGCTGGTGGAAGATCAGCACCTTTGTTTATATGTGGTGAAATAGAGCTATTTGTAAATCCAGCTCGTGACACCAACTGCTTATGATTAACTTGTTGGTAGGAGTGTCCTTTCTGCACTTCTGACTCGGTTGCAGCATCCTCTGTTCTTGGTAGCTATGTTTTTTCTTTTTTGTTTCCATATTGCAATATGGCAATTAAAAAATTGCCACTTATATTCTTCTGCAACCTTAAAATGCACACTCTTTTCCAAGCAAGGAGCCTATCCATTTATCAGAAACAAATCTTTAGCTTTTGTGGTTTTCATCATTAACATTAAAATTCTATTGTTTTGAGCAGTCAGTGATTAAACCATGATATAGCTTATTCTGACGGTTCTAGGGAGGAAGAGATGTTTTGAAAGCCTTTACTCCTCACTCATCTGTGAAACTAGTGAGCTAGCATTATTTTCCTTAATTGCGGAATGCATGGAGGCAGGTTACACTGAGGGTTTAAAAAAAAATTCCATGTTTTGATTAAAGGTCCCATGATGGTGACTTCTATTTTTTAGAGTAAATTCTTCCCCCTCTCCAAGTACAGAACTGTTGTTCTTCAGATGTCTTGAATATTTTGACTTGGCATTGTAATTTTTAAAATTACCTTTTGGTCTATAAGCTCTTCTGTTTTTAGAGGGAAGCTCTTGGCTGCCTTAATAATCATAGCACTATGTTTTTATAATTTTTTTTCTGGATTTTTTCACTTGTGATACTTCTAGGACTTAAAGCGCTATTCTTTCTGTAGTGAGAAAGTTCAGAATCTCACAGAAGTAGACAGCGAATTTCAAATGTTACCAAATGTAGAGGGCTGTTTGGTTGAAATAAAAACAATGCAGTTAAGGCCATTATCACTCAGAGCGAGTTAGATTGGTTAGTTTAAAAAAAAATAAATGTTATTTTAAGGGCATAGGAAGACAGAGAATTCCCAGAAAGTAACTTGCACAAAAGTTTGTTTCAAGCTACACATTTGCTTTGTGGAATTGTTCTAAGTCAAATGGGAGTTGGTTAGCTGCAGAACAAATTCTTCTCTAAACTAGGAATATTCTGCATAGACCAAATTAAATTTGTTTTGTAACAAAAAGATAGAGTGGGTGACTGATTTTAATTCGAGCCATTATTTTATCCTATAAGGTTTATATTTGAAATACCACTTAAGGGTGAATTATGATTTGACTTGGCTCACTGCCCTTAAAATATTAGTGGTATTGATGCAATTGAGTGTCTTATCTGATTGAAACCTGTGGAAAAAACATATTTAAGTAAGGTACTATTGTGCTTATTAGAAATATCTGGTACTTTCCTCTGCTATGCCTGTACAGACAGAGGGATTTTCAGAGCAAGCAGTTACGAGCTTCCATTATTAAAAGCCTGCGGGCTGTTTATTTTCAACTGGACTGTACTATTGGGTTTGCTGTAGGCATCAATTGTCAGATGTCAGGTTTTATATGTTCTCTTGTCTAGATTTTCTTACCTGAGTTTTATGTTCTGTTTGCTTGTTTCTCGTTGCAGGGAAATTCTAAAAAGAACAAAAATCGATAGCTTACAGCTAATCTTCAGAAGCTGCTGCTGCACAGGATGCAGATAGTGAACGTTCATTGTCCAATTCCTGTTTGTTCCAGGAAGCAGAAGGGTGGTACTGGGTCTAGTAAAAACTGATTTGGTGCTGTAAATGGCTTTAAAATATCTAGAACTTGTAACAGATAAACCAGAACTTAATGTCGACTCTAAACCAGGAAGTACGCACTCTGCGGATAATTTATATAGTAATTACCTTCAGTTTTTACTGTGCACTTTTAAAAACCAGGTTTTAATTTCATGTAATAACTTCAGATTTTGTATATTTTCAAATATGATTATGCATTAACAAATTTGGATCCGTGCAGTAGTTGTCTATTTTTGAGTTGTATGTTAAATTGTCAACGTGTACATTCCTTGTCAATAACAGTTTAAAAATGAGTTTTGAGACTTTCTTTGACCACGCAGGTTGTGCAGTTACTGTAAATGTATTCCTGTTCTCAGCCCTTTTGAATTAATTGGAAATGTGGCTTTAATTGATTTCTATAAATTCACACAAGTAAATGGGATCATCGTTATTTTATTTTAGACTCCAGTAGTGGAAACTTGCTGATGGTATTTGGCACTTTGGGTTTTGAAGTAAAGAGCACAAATAGCTGAACTGGGATACTTCTATGAAATTGCTTTAAGCCCTTACTTAGGCATTTTTGTTTACACATATATGTATATATATTGGTTGAAATAGCTGTTTAAAGCTAGAGGAAATTGTGATTGTAGTTTACCCCAAAAGAGTGAAACAGTATGTGTGTAGAATAGATCAACTTACTGTGCTCTCTTACAGTAAAGCATATGAAATATGTAAAAGATATTTAAACACTGAATTTTCCAAAAGTCGTTGTGGATTAATTCCTGATGGATTCACTGGGGGGATGCACATGGCTTTTCCTGTGTTTTGGGAAGTTTGTGAACTTTAGGCCTCTCCTAAGCTTTCCCCCGTCCGCCCCCCCTTATCAAGTGAAGTCTAATACCATGAGTTCATGAGTTTTCACAGCATTGATTTTTTTTTTTTTTTAAATTGGATGCTCTGCTGCTCTACACTTTACACTGATACTCTGTTCCATAATTTGCATTATGACACTTACTTGTCCCATAAGGGTTTACTCTGATATCAGTTGTGTCAGTGTGTATTATTAGGGCATAATAATAAAATCAGCTACACAAAACCCACTTGACTCTTTTCCTTACTTCGGGTTATACCCTGGTTGCACAGGGTGTTACTATGCTCTGCTGCTCTACACTTTACACTGATACTCTGTTCCATAATTTGCATTATGACACTTACTTGTCCCATAAGGGTTTACTCTGATATCAGTTGTGTCAGTGTGTATTATTAGGGCATAATAATAAAATCAGCTACACAAAACCCACTTGACTCTTTTCCTTACTTCGGGTTATACCCTGGTTGCACAGGGTGTTACTGGGGTGAGATGGTAACAGCTATTCCTGGTGAGGTGAGCCAAAGTAGACCAGTCTAGTTACTCTCAGTAGTGCTTCTCTTTGTTTGAGCCAGATTGCACTTCTGTACCTGTTGCTGCGCTGTGCGAAGTACACTGAGGTCACGTCAGTGTTTCTTGACGCCTTGTCTGCTGAAAGGTAAGCAAGCATCTGATCTGTGGTGATCACAGCCGTGGAACCGTTCTGGTGCAGTTTTTCCTTTTAACGGCAAAATGGGTGTGGTCATGAAACTGGAGAGATGTGGAGAGCCTGCATGGTTTCTTACTAGCAGCATGTTGAATTACAAACTACATGGTGGTGCTAATAAGGGTTGGCAAGTGTTCGCGTTCTCTCCAACCATTTTACTGAAGCAGAGGGGCCGGTTAGCTCAGTCAGTTGAGCGTGGTGCTGATATCACCAAGGTTGCGGGTTCGATCCCCGTTTGGTCCCCATGCGTTGCCTGATCTAGTTGAGAGGCGTCCCTGCCCATGACAGGGAGGTTGGATTAAATGATCTCCAAGGTCCCTTCCAGCCTGGGCTGTTCTAGGATTCTATGAGATACAGCTTCATCTGTTTCAGTAGTGTTGGAAGCAAACTGCTTTCTTCTAGTTCTTTTGAGGCCACCTTTTCTGAGGACTTGTCATCTTGCTTTGAAAGTAGTAATTTAGTTATTTTAATCCTCTGAATAACATTGAAGTTGTTACTGATGCTGCTTCTCATAGGTGGCTGCATTCAGAAAAAGGCTTTGCTTATGCTGTTTTTAAGAGGCCTAAGTTTGAAGATTTCTTAAGCATGTGATAAAAAAGTTAAATGTTTCCTCCCTCAAACGTTTTTACAACAGAGCATACGTCCAACCTCAAAACTAGAATTAATAGAGAATGTGTAGGCATTTAGGTACAATTCTAAAGCACGGTAGTTTATCAGCACTTTTTCCTTGCAGTATCTATTTGGAAATGTATTTGGGTGTCTCCCTTAGCAATCAGCAGTAAACATGCTCAGGAAGAAAGTCAGGCTGCCCTCAGGGTTTCAAGGAAGTGTTTTCAAGTAAGTTCCTGACAATTTTAAACTATCAATACACAAAAATAGAATCTTGAGGGGAAAAGAAATGGAATGGTATTTTGGATGCTGTTGTAGTAATGCTGTGAAGGGACACAGTGTATTATATTTAGCTCAGTGGCAGTAGAAACTGGAGCAAGTGGAAATGCCTGACTGCTTGTGCTTATCTGCTAACCAGGTGTTTCTGAGTTAAGTTTCTGAATATGTCAAATTCTCTTAAACAGCGAAATTGTTACTGAACAATGCTATGCTATTAAAAAGCCGAAGGCTGTCTTCAACGCTGCAGTGAAGGATGCATCTTCAAGACAAAGTTCTCCAGAAATGTGCATTTGAACTAGTTTGTCTGTATCAAGTGGTCTGTGCAGATTATGGGAATTGATGTTCAAATATTTACAATGGGAATGCTTGCCTTCCTAGTTCATTAACTGGGAAACTAATGACAAACTGTTGTAAAGTAGGAAAATCTCTAGAAGAATAGTGTAAAACCAAGGTTAAAGGTCCTAGTGCTAGGGTTTGGGTTTTTTTATTGTGTTCATTCTAACACACAAGTTTTTAAAAGCACATGAGCACTTAATTAATTTCTCCATAATGTTGGACACCTCACGAATAATTTCTCATAGATAAATAACAGCACTATTTCCAATTAATGGTTTTAATAACTGGATCTTGACATGTTCTTTCTGAACTTCATTTTAAACTTCAAACATTGTGTAATCTTTAAAAGTGTTAAGGTATCCCAGATTTCTGAAGATACGTCCTCAGTAACTATTCTGTATGTTTTAAAATACTTCCTATAACCAAGAATGAATTTCACTTCAAGATTGCCCTGTTAAGAACTACTGCGTCATGAGTTTTGAAAGTACCCGAGAAACCCCAAATACATTGGCTATTTTGAAGGGTCTTAAGCTCTTACAGTTCAGAGGTTTCCCTGCCCGAAAGATAAAATTCTGAAACAAAGTCATAAGCTGTGCACGGATGTCATCTCATTGCTGCATAAATAATGTGATTATTTTAAATTGTTGCATATGTAACTATACATCTGTGATTTAACTACTGAGCATCTTAAGCGTTGATGTAAAAATTCTTAACCTTATTGTTAACCAGCTCAAAATTTCAGTAATAGTGGCGCCAGGATCTTCACACTGGATGTGATCTAGTAGCACACTACTACTGCTAGTACTAATGCTACTGGCAGTGCTCCACCTTGTCGTCTTTGTTGAAATGCAGTGGTGATTTCTACAAGGCATTTCGTTTTCTACCAAGCCAGCTTCATGTTCTAATTTGTGCTTGTAATCCTGTTGTTCCTTCTGCTCTACCCTGCTGTCAGATGACTTGAATTTTTGGTGGGAAAGGTCTTTGGCGCAGCATGTCTCCCTGGTGCTGACTTTGGGCACAGGGTGGGCCCATCACTGCTCAGCAGTGCTCTCTACACTACAAAAAGCAGATTTGCTCAGACACCCAAGACATCAGTTGCAAACAGGAAAGGAAATGTACTTTTTATCCACAAATCACCCATCATAAGACTAGTGGAGTTATTTATTGGCTTGGTTGAGCCATGTGAATGCATTTTAAATTTTTTTTTTAATATAAATCCAAGGATGTCACTTTGAAGAACCGGCTGGCCCTGTAAAGTGGGCAAACCTGTTGTTCTTTAATATAGCATGTAAGGTAATTTGAGAGCACCATGTTAGCAACAGCAGGGTCATAATAAAAATAAAGCTTAGTGCAGTAAAAAATTGTAATTGCTACCAGAGGTCTGATTACTTCCTCCCACAAAGGCTAGCTGCCGCTCTATTAAGAATGCTTGTTCTGCGTTATTCTGCGTTTTCTGTTTCTGTTACTACTTGCAGTATTACTCAGCAGTGAATTAAAACCATGTTTGTTTAAAAGAGGCCGCGCTTACCCTAATTCCTGAATATTTCTTTTAATCAGAGAGTCCAAAACTTGCTTTTAACTGTAATTGTGTTGGCAGAGCTGCTAGCTTGGTCACAGATGGAGACAGAGAAAAGCTTTTGGGGACCTTTAGAAACCAAGGTCTGACCAGGGCTATGAAATCCACCACATGGAAACTTGCCTGGGGGCCCTTCTCATTGTCTGCCTCCGCTGTGCGTGTAGGCAGCTTTAGACACGTCAATGCTAATTCACAATCACTCGGCTTCTTACAGAAGCTTCAATACTTGCGTCCTGCAATACTGGCGTTATACAACTGAACTGCAAAATAAGCATATGATTCTTGCTGGGCTTAATTTGCATGGCAAGCTACCATGCTAACGGTCCTGTAAGGCTTTTAAACTTTTTCTCTGTAAAGCTGCAGAGATAACAGTAGAAATACTTTATCTGAACTGGTTTTAATTCTAATTCACCCTGTAAATCCAAGACTTTATAGCGATGAGGTCTTAACTAATGAAGTAGCCTTTGAAATCTAAGCCTGGTGTCAAAATTGTATTTATGGTTTCCCATAACCAATACAGTTT